CGACTACACTACTCATGGTACTATTCATGTTGTTGCTAATAACCAAATTGGTTTCACTACCGATCCTCGTTTCTCACGCTCCTCCCCATATTGTACCGATGTTGCTCGTGTTGTGAATGCTCCCATTTTCCACGTCAACGCCGATGATCCCGAGGCTGTTATGCATGTGTGCAGAGTTGCCGCCGAATGGCGTAACACCTTCCACAAGGATGTCGTTATTGATTTGGTCGGCTATCGTCGTAATGGCCACAACGAAATTGATGAACCCATGTTCACCCAACCTCTTATGTACCAAAAGATCAGAAAACACAAAATCTGCTTGGATCTCTATGCCGATAAGCTTATTGCCGAAGGCACTTGCACCGCTGAAGAAGTTAAATCGGTGGCCGATAAATACGAAAAGATTTGCGAAGAAGCCTTCGAATTGGCTAAGAAGGAAACACACATTAAGTACAAGGACTGGATCGATTCCCCCTGGTCTGGTTTCTTTGAAGGCAAGGATCCCTTGAAGGTATCACCCACTGGTGTCAAGATCGAAACCTTGGTACACATTGGCAACAAATTCTCTTCACCACCACCAAATGCTGCTGAATTCGTAATTCACAAGTAGGTTTTGTGTTAATTTATTTAAATATTTATAAAATATTGTTTCTTTCCAAAGGGGTCTTACTCGTGTTTTGAATGCCCGTAAGGCTATGGTTGATGAAGGTGTTGCCGATTGGGCTCTTGGTGAAGCCATGGCCTTTGGCTCTCTCCTCAAGGAAGGTGTTCATGTCCGTCTGTCTGGTCAAGATGTTGAACGTGGTACCTTCTCTCATCGTCATCATGTTTTGCACCATCAGTTGGTTGACAAGGCTACCTACAATGCTCTCCAACACTTGTACCCCGATCAAGCTCCTTACTCCGTTTCAAACAGTTCTTTGTCTGAATACGCTGTACTTGGTTTCGAACACGGTTACTCCATGACCAATCCCAATGCCTTGGTCTTGTGGGAAGCTCAATTCGGTGATTTCTTCAATACAGCTCAATGTATTGTCGATCAATTCCTTTCCAGCGGTCAAGCTAAATGGGTACGTCAATCCGGTTTGGTTATGTTGTTGCCTCACGGTATGGAAGGCATGGGTCCTGAACATTCATCTGCTCGCGTTGAACGTTTCTTGCAAATGTCTTCTGACGATCCCGACTATTTCCCTCCAGAATCTGAGGAATTCGCTATCAGACAATTGCACGATATTAACTGGATTGTAGCCAACTGCACTACCCCCGCTAACTTGTTCCACATTTTGCGTCGTCAAATTGCTTTGCCTTTCCGCAAACCTTTGGTCCTCCTTACACCCAAATCTCTATTGCGTCACCCAGAAGCCAAGTCACCTTTCAGTGATATGGCTGAAGGCAGTGAATTCCAACGTATCATCCCTGAAAAGGGTGTTGCTGCTGAGAACCCCAGCGGTGTTAAGAAGGTTATTTTCTGCAGCGGTCGTGTATACTATGATTTGACCAAACAACGCAAGGACAAGGGCTTGGAAAAGGAAATCGCTATTGTTCGTGTAGAACAAGTGAGTTATTTAATAAACTCTAGTATATAAAAAGGTTTAATTGATGTTATTTATTTGTTTTAGATTTCACCCTTCCCCTTCGATCTAGTCAAAGAACAAGCTAACTTGTACAAGGATGCTGATTTGGTTTGGGCTCAAGAAGAACACAAAAATCAAGGCTGCTGGTCTTATGTGCAACCACGTTTCTTGACCGCCCTTAACCACGATAGAGATATTAGGTAAGTCATTTTGTTTCTTCTTTTCTTTTCTTTCTTTATGTTTTTCTTTTAGTTTCAACATAATTTTGTTTTTGGCTTTATTTTTAAAACATTTGTTTTTTAATGCTTTCGTTTTAATTTTCTTTCAACTTTTTTTGTTGCAAACTTTTTATTATTTTGCCAAATTTATTTGTTTTAGTTTTCTAATTCTTTTTTGATTTTTTTCCTTTAACTATATATAATTTTTTAGTTTCTTAGATGTTCTTATTTTTTACCTTTTATTTGCAATAACTTTTCTAAATACCACTTTTTCACCTTATTTTATTTCACCTTTTTTGAATGAATGATTTTATTTTCTGCACACACCAGAGTTGTCTCTATTGTAGTTAAGCACACCCTCCTCCACTTTGAAGTATTTATTTATGAAAATATTTTTATCTTTATGTTGCTTGTTATGACTTTGTATTATGCTGTTTTTTTTAAAAGGCCAGCAGCTGTCTCTCTGTCGAAACTTTCTTTTGTTTGTAAACTGTTATAAAAGATATATTCTACTTGATATATAAAATCAATTGATTTTCTCTTTATACGACTTTGTCCGAGGTTTTTCACTATTTTCCATTAGCATCTCTCGACCACGTAATATTATAATAACGATAAAATTTGAAAAAAATTTACACCAGTGAACAGAGTTTAATTTTTTAAAGGACTGATCTGCCCTAAATCTGAATTTCTCCATCACATCAGTCATCTGAGCCCAATGTTTGAAAGAAGTCCAGATATAACAGCGCGTAGTCAGTCACCCTTATTTTTATGCCCTTCAACTTGGTAGAAAGGTTATATAAGTCTATCATTCTTTTTGTAATTTCCACAATATAATTTACAGACCCTACAAATTATAATTATTCTTATATATAGATAGCATTGTTGATTTATGCTATGTCTGTCTGTTGAAATCAATTTTCTGAAGACTGAATGTTTCTAGAAGTGTCTGAACTAGTTCAGTTCTAATTCAGTTCTAGTTCAGTTTTAGTTCAGTTCTAGTTCAGTTCTAGTTCAGTTCTAGTTCAGTTCTAGTTCAGTTCTAGTTCAGTTCTAGTTCAGTTCTAGTTCAGTTCTAGTTCAGTTCTAGTTCAGTTCTAGCTCAGTTCTAGTTCAGTTCTAGTTCAGTTCTAGTTCAGTTCTAGTTTAGTTCTAGTTCAGTTCTAGATCAGTTCTAGTTCAGTTCTAGTTCAGTTCTAGTTCAGTTCTAGTTCAGTTCTAGTTCAGTTCTAGTTCAGTTCTAGTTCAGTTCTAGTTCAGTTCTAGTTCAGTTCTAGTTCAGTTCTAGTTCAGTTCTAGTTCAGTTCTAGTTCAGTAGTTCAATTCTAGTTCAGTTCTAGTTCAGTTATAGTTCAGTTCTAGTTCAGTTCAAGTTCAGTTCTAGTTCAGTTCCAGTTGAGTTCTAGTTCAGTTCTAGTTCAGTTCCAGTTGAGTTCTAGTTCAGTTCTAGTTCAGTTCTAGTTCAGTTCTAGTTCAGTTCTAGTTCAGTTCTAGTTCAGTTCTAGTTCAGTTCTAGTTCAGTTCTAGTTCAGTTCTAGTTCAGTTCTAGTTCAGTTCTAGTTCAGTTCTAGTTCAGTTCTAGTTCAGTTCTAGTTCAGTTCTAGTTCAGTTCTAGTTCAGTTCTAGTTCAGTTCTAGTTCAGTTCAGTTAGTTCAGTTCTAGTTCAGTTCTAGTTCAGTTCTAGTTCAGTTCTAGTTCAGTTCTAGTTCAGTTCTAGTTCAGTTCTAGTTCAGTTCTAGTTCAGTTCTAGTTCAGTTCTAGTTCAGTTCTAGTTCAGTTCTAGTTCAGTTCTAGTTCAGTTCTAGTTCAGTTCTAGTTCAGTTCTAGTTCAGTTCTAGTTCAGTTCTATTTCAGTTCTAGTTTCAGTTCTAGTTCAGTTCTAGTTCAGTTCTAGTTCAGTTCTAGTTTCAGTTCTAGTTCTAGTTCAGTTCTAGTTCAGTTCTAGTTCAGTTCTAGTTCAGTTCTAGTCAGTTCTAGTTCAGTTCTAGTTCAGTTCTAGTTCAGTTCTAGTTCAGTTCTAGTTCAGTTCTAGTTCAGTTCTAGTTCAGTTCTAGTTCATTCTAGTTCAGTTCTAGTTCAGTTCTAGTTCAGTTCTAGTTCAGTCTAGTTCATTCTAGTTCAGTTCTAGTTCAGTTCTAGTTCAGTTCTTAGTTCAGTTCTCGTCAGTTCTACTTCAGTTCTAGTTCAGTTCTAGTTCAGTTCTAGTTCAGTTCTAGTTCAGTTCTAGTTCAGTTCTAGTTCAGTTCTAGTTCAGTTCTAGTTCAGTTCTAGTTCAGTTCTAGTTCAGTTCTAGTTCAGTTCTAGTTCAGTTCTAGTTCTGTTCTGTTCTAGTTCAGTTCTAGTCAGTTCTAGTCAGTTCTAGTTCAGTTCTAGTTCAGTTCTAGTTCAGTTCTAGTTCAGTTCTAGTTCAGTTCTAGTTTAGTTCTAGTTCAGTTCTAGTTCAGTTCTAGTTCAGTTCTAGTTCAATTCTAGTTCAGTTCTAGTTCAGTTCTAGTTCAGTTCTAGTTCAGTTCTAGTTCAGTTCTAGCTCAGTTCTAGTTCAGTTCTAGTTCAGTTCTAGTTCAGTTCTAGTTCAGTTCAAGTTCAGTTCTAGTTTAGTTCTAGTTCAGTTCTAGTTCATTTTTAGTTCAGTTCTAGTCCAGTTCCACTTCAGTTCCAGTTCAGTTATAGTTCAGTCCTAGTTCAGTTCTAGTCTAGTAAGGTATCTTTAGAAAATTGTTCTCTGATCTCTTGGTTAATAATTTTTTTTCTGTCTAATAACATTACTTTAAATTTGTATTGCAATTGTATTAAGTCTAATACAAATCCTTAACAGAACTATAGAAATTGTAAAACTGGTTTTTGAATCATATGAATGATTTGCCACACTTGCAATTTCTTGCAATAAATATTCTGAAAACGTGCAACCTTAATTCTTACATAAAATACCACGAAAAGATTAGATTTTATCAGCTATTCTTCTATTGTAATTTATAATCCTAATTTTAAAATTTTACTTAATTTACTAGCTCATGCATGATTTACAAACTTAATAATTATTCTTAAGATTTCTAAGCACGTAATTGACGTGTGTAGTTTTTATACAATTCAAATCTTCGATAACCATACCATATATCGCCTACATAAACGATTTTAAATCATAAACATTGAGCATGGCTTTTTTCTCTCTTAAGTTTTTTTTTTAGTTTTAAGATTCTTTTTTCTTTATTTTTTTCTTCACTCAATAATTTTAATTCAACTTTATAATCATTACAAAAAAAACTTAATTTTTAGTTTTAAGTTGCCTTATTATTCAAAATTTCCTAAATTTTTTTTTTTTGTAAGTTTTCAAACGAACTCAACAAAGTTTATTGTAAACAAAACCTTTCTTTGTTCCCAGTGAAGTGATATAACAGCCTTTAAGCAATCCAAAATTTTCCTACATTTTTTTTTGTGTTTTTTTGTTTGTGTATGTATTATTGTTATATTGTTGTTGCAGCCCCCATGATGCTACTTCCTCTTCCACTTCTACTACTACCACTACTACTACCAATACTAATGAGTCCGATTCCGCTAATCAATCGAAACCCTGGTTAAGTCGTATGTTTACATCCGGTGGTAGCAAGTCTGCTGCTAATGATGCCACCTCTGGCAATCAACAGCAGACTGGTGAATATTGCGAGAAGAAACATTTTGATTTGAAAAATGTACGCAAAGATTTCAATAGACCCGCTGGTCATTCGGCGGCACCTGGTGTGCGTGTTTCTAAAACTGGACGCAAAATTAGGTGAGGGTTCTTCTACCACTAAAATAACTCTATATACATACATAAATACATACTACCTACTACCACATCTCTTCTGTTCTGTTGTACTCTACATTAAAAAATTTATTATTATTGTATATAAACAAACAAAAAATAAGAAATGCAAAGCATTTACTTTTGTAGTGTTTAAATAGTTATTAGTACAATTGTATATTATTACTTATATATTTATATATTAATAATTATATATATATATATTTATATAGCATATATATACATTTACTAATGTTTTTTTTTAAATCTTGCCAGCGATTAAAGCAAGATTTTTGTTTCATCTTATATGTTCTTTTTATACTATTCTTTCTAACTAATATTATAACAAATCTTCTTTCCAGTTTCTTTCCTGTTTTTTTATTGCAAATTGGCTTTTCTTAACTTTTATGAAAATTTAATTTTCATTTAAATGTTTTTTTTTTAATTTTGCATTTCATGTATTTTGTTATATTCATTTGTCTGTTTTTTTATTCGTTTGTGTATCTAATGTCCCACTATTGCATGTAATGTTTATATGACTTTTGTTTTGTCCTGCACTTAGTTTAATTATTTAAGTTTTAAATTTTTTTGTTGGCTATCATCTTCATCTAGAGTTGTATCAGCTTGATCATTAAAAAGTTTCATTTTTTTAGATTAGTCTACATATTAAGCTCATTAAAAACCTTTAAAAAGTTTAGTAGTTTAGGGATTTTTATAAACATTTAGCTATTAACTAAAAATGGTTTCCTGTCAAAATTTTTACCTTGTTTAAAAGGAGAATGTGCCGGATTCAATCAGACCTGCTGTGCGTTTCTTTTCAGTGCCTCAGATGGGAATCCCACCTAACCTCTGGACTACTAGACTAAAACACTTATCACTAACCTACCGTAGTCGAAAATTTTTAGGGTGACAAAAAGTTTCTCATTCAATTCCTAAGGAAAGGGATAATTAATTATATTCAGTAATTCAATATTCAGTTCATGTTTATAGACTAGTGTAAAGTAATATTTTCACTAGTCTATAAATTAATATTCGTAATATTCTAGAGAAAAGTTCATTTACTACTCTATGGACTAGAATATTGACTAATATATGCACACGTTTATTGATTAGTAGATTATTTATTCTATCGACTAGTCGATAGACTAAGGACTTTTCTATAGACTTGTCTATTATGTCTTCTATGGACTATGGATTGTGTAGTCTATGGACTTGTCTATTAACTAGTTTATGAACAAATTATGAAAGTCTGTAGTAAAAAAGTAGGGGTACAACAATATCCCTGCAAAAATTGAGACTACTACGCACACATAATCTATACATTTCCTAAAGTTATGATCCACAACATGGTCCTTTGTAATGGAGGCTATGGACCTTGTTGTTTTCAAAAACAATGAAAAGGGTCTATACCTACATTATCCAAGTGTACTAAACGGAATATTTACTCCAGTAATGTTTGCAGAAGAGTAGTTTTGGGATTAATTAAATGGATCATTGTGAAACAAAGTGTAAAAAATCAAATGAGGCCTAGGTCCTTTAAAAAGCAGAATTTAAAAAAAGGTTTTCGCACACTAAAGTCAAGCAATAGAATCTAAACGAAAAGGTTTCCTTTGAAAGCTGAAATTGTAAAGCAAATATCTCTAATAATGTTTAGACTATGAACCAAATAAGAAACTAATACAATTTTATTTTAAATGTTTGGAAAATGGTTACACACAATTCGGTCCAGTCGAATAAAACACTCTTACTTGTATGACATATTTGTTGTAAATCACTATAGTAAGGTGCGTATGACATATTTGTTGTAAACCACTATAGTGGGGTGCGTATTTTGGATTTATATTGATGTTTGTGTAACGCACAACGTATACAAATCAGCCTTAATAATAACTTGCTGAGTCAATTAAACAATGTATGCCCAACCGTCTGTCTTTCGTTGTAGGTGTAAACCTTATGCAATTTTTAGCCCTATAGGTTTCTCAGTAAAAATTTTAACCAAAAATTGCTCTAAAAAGTGTATTTATTTTTTACTATAAAAGACATTTTCAATAAAAACAATTCAAAATTTCCCAATATTTAGCAGAATTTTTCAAAAACTTAAATTTTCACTAAAATTTCAAATTTCTACCTAAAATACTATTTTTTTCGAATAAAAACACAATTTTCACAAAAAAGTAAAATTTTCAGCCTAATTTTCATACTAAATTTTAGTGAAATTTTTCACTAAATGTTAAATTTTTCAAAAAAAAAAAAAAACACCAATTCAGGTTTTGAGTTAAAACTTAAATTTTTGGTGAAAATTTAAATGTTTTTATTTTAGAAAAAAATTACTATTTCTAGTGAAAATTTGGAATTTGGGTGAAAATTTTGTTTTTTAGCGGAAAAATTTTATTTTTTATATGAAATTTTTACTTTCCGCTAAAAAAGTATATTTTTCACCTAAATTACAAATTTTCACTAGAAATACATTAAATTTTTACTAAAAATAAAAACTTTCAAATTTGCATCAATTTTAACTTAAAACTTTAAAAATTTCATTCAAAAACTTCAAATTTTCACTAAACATTTCAATATTTTTACAAATTTTAACTTAAAACTTTAAAAATGTCATTAAAAACTTCAAATTTTCACTAAACATTTCAATATTTTGACAAAGACTAATCAATATTTTACATAAAATTAGTTTGGTTATCAAAATCCGATTGAACTAATGCGATATGTAATGGAAAACGAACGATTTGAAATCCAGCAATTTCTTGAGAGAAAATTATTCGAAATAACTATGGAAATCTTAAATGTTACACGAAATAGTTTCGTTTCTGTCTTCTATATTCATTGAATCCCTATATATTATTTGTATAAAAAAAAACTTTCTTTAAAGAAAGTATATTTAAGTTAAATAATACATACTTATACCCAATAAACCAAAGAACGATATAATAGCGAAAACGGTATTGCTTTTAAAGGGCGATTATTATATCATATTTCATTATTTAAAACGATATTATTATAATATCGTTTTATATTTTGTTTCCAATAAAAAAATTAAGAAAATACAAACATTTGAAAAAAACTTCAAACATAAAAATAATTTCAATAAAAATTTTCGAACATAAGAAAACTAAAAAGGATATTAAAATAAAATCAACTAAATTATTGATAAATAATCCAAATAAATACGCGAATTTCGTTCGATACTTCAGTTTTGTGGTAAGTTGACATGTATGCAATTTTGAAAAGTTTCAGGTATTTGCAAGACAATGCATAATGTGATGAAAAATATGATTACTTTAAAATATGTATTAATGTATGTATGTAAATATGTACAAATGAATGCAATCCTTCCCTTTTCAGGCTTTTTTATATGTATAATAGCGAAATATTAAGTTAAATAGCGTTTTAAATGAAATTTTAAGAATAAAAGAGCATACAGAAAAAAAACTGAAAAAGGCGATTTAACTATCATTATTTTTGGAAATTATGATAGCGAAAACGATATCATAATTTTATGGAAAAACGATATCATAAGGAAAGGTACCATTTAGTACATAAATACTATCGTTCTCGATACGAGAACGACTATCACTTATGATATTTTTTATCACCTAAGTGATATCGTTTCGATATCGTTATAATATCGTTTGGTTTATTGGGTACTTATTGTTGTATTTTACTATAATAGAGACAATAGATCATTTATTCAAAAACTTATAATTTTTACATTTAAATCATCATTCATATCATTTAGTAGTATAGTTTGCTTGCTATTTATTGCTTTAAAGTTTTTATTTAAATATTATAAAACTAACACTTATATAATTATTTTATTTAATCTGTAACTAATTTCAATTGAATGCTTTTATTATAAATTAATTATTATGCTTTTTTAAACAAAAAAAAAAAAAAAAAAAAAAAATTTAAATGTGTATAAATTATGTTCATGTTTTTAACCATAACAATATTTACTCAAATATTCTTTAAATTAATAAAATTCTTTTTTAATTCTTTAATAGCTATGCTGGACGTCCATGTGGTGCTTCGACTGCTACCGGTTCCAAGGCTCAACATATACGTGAATTGAATGCTTTGTTGGCTGATGCCATCAGTATCTAAATGACTCTTTAATAAATGATGATAAAAGGAGAAATTTCATCATCATAGAAACATTGTATCATCATCATTGATTTTTTTTTTTAATTTTAAACACAACACAATTTCTAGAGACAAACTTTTAACGACTAAAATGGATCTATTTATCTATCATACATACAATTTACATACGCGCATACATATACAACATTTAAAACTATAAATATATTGAAAAGATATTTTTTTTCTTAATTTTAATTTTATTTAAATGATTATTATATATCTACTATACTTTAAACACACACACATACACATATACATATTGTCTCTGTCTTTGACAAAATTTAAAGAAAAAGAAATGTTTGTTTTTCGTTTAAAAAGTGAAACCAAACAAAAATACCTTAAATTACCAATCTTTAACTATTTAAATATTATAAAAAGAAAAACAACAAAAACGAAAAATGTAATTTAGTTTAGATAATTGTAAAACTAAGAAATGTAGTTAAAACTTCCTTAAAAAGAAAAATAATAAATCTCCTCTTAAGTTTTAAACATTAAGCCAACCATATGTAGCAAAGAAAACAAAATGTACGAGAAACCAGAGAGGATAACTAAAAAATAACAACCAAGTCTATGAAAACCGAATGCAAATAAAATATTAATTTTAATTATTATTTATTTTAAATATTATTTAATTTTTAAAACAAAAAAAAAAAAAAAAAAGAATAAAAAATTTAACAAAAAAACAAATAACGTTACAAAACTTACATTTTTTTTATTTGAATAAAAAAAAACTGTATTGTTTTTAGAATGGTAATAAAAAAAAGCGCATGTCAAAATAATAATTATCAGGGATTTATTAAACTGTATTTTTTTTTCATCATTTTAATTTTATCTAATTGTATACAATTAAGAACTATTTAAACTCATATACATATTATTTTCTTTTTAGTTTAGTTTTGTTAAAGTATTATTATCATTTCTCTTTTTGTTGCCCTTTCCTTATTTGCAAATAAAAATCCTTGTGCCTCTTCTTTGAAAAAAAAAAAAAAATCAATATTTAATTGTTTTTATTTGTTTTATATGTTTAAAAAATGTCTGCAAATGTTTGATAAGTAATTTCTGAAATTTTACGAAAAATCCATTAGGAAATAAAAGAATTGCAAAACTAAATGAGACAATCCTCTAAAATGATTTTAAATTAACAAATGGATTCAAATTTTAAGTTTTAATTAACACATACGTTAAAAACGATTGCAAAACTAATGTGCAATCAAGTTTTTTGCTAAACAGCATGAAAGACAATTTTCTTTTCAATTCCCTTATGAAAATGTAAACCAAACACTATTACAAATCTCTATGAGAACAACTTGAGCTCTGGTGATAGTAAGTTGTGGTCAACAGTCTGATCTCTCTTCCATATCGACTAAGAAGGATTTCCGACCCTAAACCGTGCTGAAGTTCATAGAGTAAATCTCATAGAGTTAAACATGGTGTACCCTCTCTAAACTCCTCAAACCTTTACAAGGATTAGATGTGATATGGGGAAGACTGAACTATTATGGTATCGTGCCACAACGTTGATAAACTACACGATCGGGTGAATAGAAATATACTAGTTGTTCACTACACAAAACCTGTAACTATTTATCACCAGCAAAGTAGTCAGCAAAACTCTTCAACACCTAAACGAAGGAAGTGAATTTACCTCTTGGCGTCATATTCAATGGAGCTCAAAATACATAACTCGAACAAGTATAACAAAGAATGCTTTGGACAAGATGTCGAAGTGCTTTATATGAACACCTGTCGTGTAGACCTTATTTCACGGCGGTACTTTTTCAACCACTAGGTGAGCTGACTAGACTACTCACCATCGACATTTACACGACGGTGGCAATTTTTATACTTGGTTCTGCCGGTCCATGTACAAGCGCTTTTCTCAAGTACTATCGATCTATCTAATCTGTGACCATTGCTGCCCTAACTTCCGATATGCAAAATATCACTTCCGTTTATAGCCACACAGATGGGATGGTCTCTGTTGAGTCGGCAACAGCACCTAGAGACGTATTCGGTAGACCGAAACACGAATCCATCTCACTTACAGAGAACACACTGTGGTATGAACAGAGTAAGCCTTGAACATACCTGGACTAAGAAGGATACTTTTATCCATCACCATTCAAAAAATCAAACTTCTCATTCATTCAACACACTCATAGAGACCAACATCCGACACACTCACTCTAGGTATACGGGCAAATTTGGTTTTAAACCACAGCCACTACGAGCACACCAAAGGGATCTCTCCAACAACCTGGACAAGGCAAATTCCAAAACTCTGCCCGAGGTACCAGATTTTGTGGTTCTCTGGTTCGACGCCCTATCAAAACATTCCAGGAAAAGGCCGAGGATACATTTGATCACCACCAGTTTATAGTCCCGGCAGACTAGAGGTACTGGTACCACCTCTTTTACCCCGGATTGCAATAACACCAAGATGGGGTCATTCAACAAGGTTACATGCTCCCGGGGGGAGGACTGCTTTCTTTTACAAAACAACGTTCAAGATTTAGAAAAGTTGCAAGGCATTCCCCAGTTCTAAAGACATGTAAAATTCTAAGCGTCACTCACAGCCGAGCGGATCTTAACTTTTTGGCGAATTGACCAAAATTGTTTATACACAAACATCAGACGTGTCTAATCGTATACTGGACACATAATTTGTCGGGAATTTTGAGATATTGATCCCACATAGATGTTCGTGTTCAAACGAAACATTAGAGTTAAACTCTGAGAGAATCCATAATTACACAAATTCCTCTAAACTGTAAGACAAAATGCGTCTGTTTACGCGTCTTCCTATTCGCAACACTATCTTACCACGATATTTTGAATAAAGCGCCAAAAAAGGGCTTGTTTTACTACAGGCAAGTAGGGCGATATCAGCTGGTTAAATCTAAGATCGTATAAAACTGTAAGAATACTACAGTGGTAGGTAAGCTATACATTATATACACTCTGGAATAATCGGTAATAATTCGCTCTGTCTCGCTATAAAGGGAAACGAGCTTGAGTAAGTTAAACTCCTGAATGTATTCAATGTTTCGAGACCTGACGAGAGCTGAATAAAAAACACCCATAATGAAACGGTGGGTTGTACTACAAGAAGCCTCCTCAGTATAAACAAATCCGACGTTGGTATGATGTTAAGTTATCTAAGTGCACATATGTACATACGTGTTTAAGGGCACAAGAGTACCCAATTAGACAGACGATTTCAAACGTATGTATGTTAAGATTTCAAAGAAGAACGCTGGAACACTTTCCGTGACTATTTGCTATATATTATATCCCTTAGATACGCTGATTGAAAAATTCTACATTCTACAACGTCCAGGAATCTGAGTTTCTAAACATTGGACGGAAACTCCTAAGGGTTTTCTACTAAAATTTTCCATGAAAAGGAGTGTACAACAGGTCTGATATAGGCATAGATTTATTTTCGGATCTAATGTAATATATGTATATACAGCCTCCTTAAAACCTAACATAATCATAGAAATCGAACTATTTCATAGGTATACAATTATTTGAAATGTTTATTTTGGAATCGCTTACAACATAAGCGTTACAATGCTAACCAAATTTCTTAGTTGAACAGATTAAAGTCCAATTCTTACTAGAGTAAATAAATTAAAATTCCATATACTTTAAATTATTATAAAATACAAATCTTAATTTAAAATCTGTTTCTAATCACACTTTTTTATTATACCTATCAAACTAATAATTATTACTCTTCTAAAAACAATATTATTGTTTTATTAAAATATAAAAATTATAAATTTTATACATCTTTGATAAATTATACAGCGTTGCTAGAAAAGACACCAAAAAACTGAAAACTATTTTAAACTTTTGAACTTTAAACTTTAACAAAAAACAAATCAAATAATATTTAAAATTATTAAGTGATAATTGTTATTATTGGTGCAACTAAAAAGGATCAGTTATTGAAAATAATTTAATAAATTAAGTTAAAATATTTAAAAGAATATGTATGTTTAAGAGAAAAAATCGATAGATCGACTTGAAGTGAACATTTTCTACTATTTTATAAAAAAAAGATACATATAATAATATTAAGCTTAAAAGAAAATCCTGTTTAAAATATAATTGTTGCTCAGAGAAAGCAAATTCTATATGAGAACAAAGAAAACAAATAATTGTGTTATTTAAAACCATTCCTTTATTTTGGATGGTACATTTTTTCTGTAATCTGCACCTATTTAAAAATATTTTTTTAAAACAAATAAGAAAATAAATATTATAATGATATTAATTATAATTGCACAATACTACGAGTATATTAATAAAAAAATATTGGTATTAATAAAGAAGACATACATATTGAAAATAAAATACTTGTTTGGACTTTATTGTAAAAATAGGGTAAGTTATATGCAATACTTTCGATAGATTCAGTTCGATATTTTTTAACGTATAATTCAATTCACAATAACTCAAACAAATAGTAAATGTGTTTTAGCAACACTGAAACTAATAACACGTCACTTTTCGCCATTCTCGCCTAAAAGTTCAATGTCAAAAATATTGAAATCTAATCAAATTTTGAAATTATAAAATTAAATCTAAAAATTTTAAAAACTTGTATAAAAATAAAAAAAAATGTTAAATTCTTGTTGTTTTTGGAAATGCAATCGTTATTGGTTATTTCGTACAAAATTGGTACATAATTTAAGAAAATCTATCAATACACGAGTTAATAATATCTGTTTTAATTTACAGTCTTTAAGTGTTCCAACATTTTCTTTTAAACATAGAGGATCTGCTAAAAAGGCAACTAAAGGTAAAGATCTTGAACACACAACTGTGGGAGATGGTAATAGTGCTAGCTATGTAGAGATTATGTATAATACTTGGCGACAAGATCCCACTTGTGTGCATCCTGTAAGCAATTTATTTAACCGAAATTAAAAAAAAAAGATTCGATAAGTTTTTTTTTAGTCATGGGATGCCTTTTTTCGTACTGGTTCTTACAAACCTGTTCCAGCGTCTTCTCATTCTCAACGCAATGTAGAGCCAATATCTCAATTTTGTGGTTCTAGTAATTCGGCCAACGAACAGCAAATTGAAGATAATATTCAAGTTCATAATGTGGTACGCAGCTATCAAACTCGCGGATTTTGGTAGCCAATTTAGATCCTTTGGGAATTACGACGCATGAAAAGTTTATAACGAAATCTGGCATGCAACTGAATGCTAATGAGAAGGTTTTGTTGCAAAATTCAAAATTTTTAGAGGTAATATATAG